TAGACTATCTTGGTTAATTTTGGTATAAAATATATTTTATTAAAAATATATACTATTGCCTACATTTCTCAATAATTAAGTAAATAGGTTAAAAAATGCCACTTTTCAAGTGTCACTTTACAAAAATGCCACACTTTTGAAATCTTTACAAAAATGCCACTTTTTCAAAATTATTTTTTCATTATATAATTTATGTTTGGGTTAACTATGTTATATTAGAGTTTAGTTTTGCGTGTTTAGGGGGTTTTAGGTGTCAAAACATTTTTTAGGGTTTAGAATGTTAAAATATAGGTTTTATAAATCTATAATTAGTGGTATTTTTGTAATTGGACATTCCTAAATGATATTCTTGCAAATGTGGACACAAAAAAATGGGATTTTTGCAATTACCCTTAAAAAAATACAATATTTTAGTTGATAACTATTTGACCCTTAAATTTGTAGTAATTGTTTCTTAAGGAAGAAGAGAAAGCAAAGCAATTTCTGAGAAGAACAATGGTGGATTATTTGGTGAAAGCAGAGGAATTTGAGAAGAAAGCAGAGAAGAAGCTCAATGATGCTGCAATGCTTCTCGAACATGCAGCTAATTCCTACAAACTCGCCAAATCTTGTACTTTCTTTACTTCGTTGCTTTGTTTCCTTTCCTCTTCATTGATGATCACATAATGTATCAGTTTAACACTTGATACATAGAAATTTATTGGGTTTTGTCCTTATAAGAAGTTATTGTTAAAGTTGTGAAATTGAGTGCGTTTGTGTTTCCTTAAGAGGTTTGTTACATTCTTTGATGGTATATATAACCAAGCTTATGTCTTCAGGGGATTTAGCAGGAAAAGCTAATGTGAAACGAGCTAATTGTTTTCTTTATTTGGCTACAAATGTTCTTTGCATGTATACGATGATGATGGCGATGATGTTGCTCTGCATCTGTAGTCAGAGAACAAACATGATGCTGCATACGCCTATGCTCAAGCCGCTAAATCCTTCAAGAAAGTGAATGCAAATGGTTTGTGTCCCGAATGCGATTTTTTTCGTTTTTTTTTGGGTTGTATTATGTAGCCAAAAGCTAATCTTTTTACATGGTTTTCATATCTCAGTGGTGAAAATCCAGTCTATAGTATATTGCTTTGACATCGTTTTATCGATTTTATCTTTCGATTTCCGAATACAAGTTGTGGCCTTCTTTTTTGGCAGAGGCTGCATCTTGTTTAGAGCATGCAGTGAATATATATTGCGAGATAGGAATGCTTGGCATGGCTGCAGGAATTTATAAGGTACTATGTTTTTTCTTCTATGTATGAACTAAATATTAGATTTTTAACTTTTTGAAGTTATTAGATTGAAAATATTGTTTCATTTACACTAATGAAATGTTTGAGTTGATTGCTTTGTAATTGTGGCAGGAACTCGCTGAGTTTTATGAATCCGATCAGAATATGGAAAAGTCTATTGCTTATTATGAAAAGGCAGCTGAATTTTATCAAACTGAAGAAGTAACTACTTCTGCTAACTATTGCAAGCTAAAGATCACGCAATATTCTGCCCAATCAGAGCAGTAAGATCTTCTGTAACTTATCTTTTTGGTCTGCTAAAACTATCACTGGTAGAGTTTTATTGTGTGTGTTCTTCTTTGATTTGACTTACATGTTACTATTTGATGAACTAAAATAACTTGTTATAAGGATATGTGAATAATAATGCGCTCTTTGCGTCTTTGTTAGATATGAGAAGGCAATAAAGATCTATGAAGAAATAGCTCAACAATGTCTCAAGAATACTTTGCTTAAGTATGGAGTTAAAGGGTATCTTCTCAACGCTGGTCTTTGTCATCTACGCAAAGCTGGTGTTATTTCCATTACCAATGCCTTGGAGAAATATAAGGTTCTGCTTTATACAAACAACATTATTCATAATGTAACATTTCTTTGAGATCTTTGAGAGTATACCAAGTGGATATAACATTTGCTTTATTTGTAGGATTTGGATCCAACTTTTTCAAGAACGCGAGAATGCAAGTTTTTGGTGGTAGGTTCTTTGTTGATTAATGGCCAACTTTACGAAACCTCCTCGTGCGTTCGGGTTTTGAGATTTTCTTTGCATGAACAGGATATTGCTGGGTCCATTGATGAGGAAGATGTTGCCAAGTTCACAGATGTTGTCAAGGGATTTGATAGCATGACGCCTTTGGTTCGACCCATATCTTTTCACAAAAAAAGATCGAATAAATTGTCTATAAACCGGCTTATACAACTTTGTGTTGCAGGATTCTTGGAAGACAACATTGTTATTAAGAGTGAAGGAGAAGCTGAAGGCAATGGAGCTTGATGAGGATGACTTAACTTAAAATATATGTTCCTTCATTGTAGATTTGCTATTTGAAAACATTCGCAGACTGAATATGCTACTTTGAGTTCTAAAGTATGTCTCTGATATTGGCTTGAGTTTAAGAGGTTATTGTAGAGGTTTAGTTGAATATCAAAGTCTGAATTGTCTCTGTTGGTCTTCTCACTTGTGAGTTCTTAAAAGAAAGATTTTATTTATGACACAGAGTATTCAAACTGAACCAAACCATATAGTAGACATGGTTTTAATACGGTAACTATTTCTCATAAGCCGAAAATCCGAAGAAACCAAACCAAAACGGAACTGAAATCCGGATTGAACACCCTTACACGCCGGTTTCTTCTCCAGTCCCATGGTTTCTTTGGATTTGAAGAAGCCCACAAGCCAATACGCTTCTCTCTCGCCTCTTTTTCCCACTGATTTTCACATCAAAAGAACGTTCAACACTAAAAACAACATGGCAAGAAACTTAAGTAGTATATTATCTTGCCTTTGCGAGAACCATGCGCTTGTCATAAGCAATGTAATGCCAAGCAAGACCTTTCTTTAGCATTACCTCCTACATAAGAAACCGATAACCGGTTTAAATAAAGTTTTTTATGGAAGGAAAAATGTAAAGGTTAGTACTTTTATTACCTGAACAAAAATCCCATTGCAGTATAAATCTCCTACGCATCGCCCGTACTGATCTTCTCCATAAACTAATACCTTCAAGAACAATCTTAAGAAGCTCTTCTTGAGCCTCTTTCCCAAAAGGCATTTGGCTCTCTGGTGCATCTATTCCCCTATTTCCTTTTCCATAACCAGAGAGCTTTTAGTTAAACAATGGCATATCTAAATTAAGCTCCTCATAAAAGGTAAAGAGTGATTATTTTTACCTTAGTCTAATTCTGATCTTCCGAGCAAGCACTTCCTCACTTTGAATATTTAGCACTCGGTAACCAGAATCAATGATCTTCTGGTGAAGCTCATCTGCTTTTCTATAATCTTTCTTCTCTCGTGCTTTTGCTCTTTGAACCGCTGCAACATTTACTTCCCTTGGAACAGAAGATGACACGACCGGGTCTGAAGTACTGACATACACTGTGATAGAGTCTCCATCTACCACAGCTCTTGGATCCACCTAATTTTACATTACACAAGCTTGATCAGCAACAATATCATCAATACCCAAAACGAGTTATTCGTTCTTTTGAATTGGTACTTGAAGTTTTTCTAACAGGAAGCGTTTGAAATTCGAAAAGAACTCCTTCAGGCAAAGACAAAGGAGCTTCAGTAAAGAGGTCAACCAGAGTGTGAGGCAAAGGAAGTCCATAGAAAGACAAAAGTCCCTATCACAAACCAACATTAATCTTCAAACGCGCATAAATGTTTCCGAAACATCTGTAATTGCTACTCATTTTCATACCTCAACATCTGCATTCTGATAGTGATGCCTCTTTAAGATCTCAGTAACAAGCCTAGAAGCTTCCTCTGCCGTACGTGGTGGAGGTTTAGCTTGCTTCCATGCCTCAAGTATTTGATACCTTCACAATGTTTGCAATATACACACAGCAAGCAAATTGAATTAAACAGCAAAAGGTCACATCTTTATACAACAAAATTGTGTTGTTTTACCAGTTTGCTTGAGTTTTTCTTGACGACACAACATATCTCCCAAGCCCTTCAGGAACCTAGAAGTAAAAGTCATGATCAAGATCAATTTCTAATGGATCAACTAGTTGCATAACTTGGTTACAATAACTGAAAAACCACCACAAACTAAAACTAAAGTTCTCTTCAACGAAATTTGGTACAGAGAGCACTTTCAAGCACTTAAATTAGCTAAAGATCACTGGAAAAACAAATGAAGTAGCTGGAAGTAAGTCAAAGGAAGGAAATTTTCGCAGATTCAATAAGAAAGTTTACCTGAGAAGTGATGTCGAAGTTGAAGAGATCGTGAGCGAGAGCTGGAACACCGGCGGTTGCGGCGGAGACACCATGAGGTCGGAGAGACTCGTCGTCCGTCGTGGGTTTGCAGCATTTTCCGTAGAGAAATCTAAGAGCGTTACCCATTTTTGAATACGATTTCTTGAAATCCAAAAAGTTTCGATCTTTGAATAAACTCTCTACTCTCAGTTTTACATGTTTGGCTCAAAGAGGAAATCTTTAAGGGAGAAATCTTTGAAGACGGAGAAAGGAGCA